TCTAGTTTATAATATAATATAATGTACAATATACATACATACATGTATGTAAATATCATTTCATTTCATTTGATAATCGTAACTGTACTTTCAAACAAACTATTGCAACAAAAAACAAACCAATTTGTGTATGTATATATCTCAATAGTCTTCGATAATAATATGATTATCATGTTCACGTATTTCTATTTATTTTTATCGTTTTTGTGTGTGGAAGGATTCATTTTATAATTATAAAACCAAAATAATATAATATATTAAAAAATCTATTTAGTATCTATTGAATGTCGCCAACATTAAAACATTAATGTTGTGATAAATAAATATTATATATTGCAATTTAATACATAATAATATAATTATAAAACATTGTAAATAAACAATTACATAACATTTAAATTTCATGTGTTTTCATTATTTCAATTTCCTTATAAAAATTAACTATCTTGAAAAAAACAAAACACAATGAGCAATCCAAACGATTTAATTTTCGATGTAAATTCTTTTAATTATTTTAAAAAAGGATATTTATTAGCCAAATATCAAGGTGTTGAGTTTTCTTTTTGTTTGAGAGATGAATTGTGGATGCTTTTTTCATCATGTAAAAGTCATGAATCCGATGTTCATAACAAACTCAGAACATGTTTTCAACCATTATATGGTGAAAGTTTCCAAAAAGAACTCAATGAAGAACCAGTTATTCTAAACAAAAATGAAATTATCCAATTGTACTCTACCTTTATTGATGAACAAAATGATTCTGATGTGTGTATTTATTTTATTAAAACTCCTGATCACAAATTACAAAAGAAAAAAATCAGATTTTTATTTTTTAATAAACTTAAGTCAAACAAATATTGGTTGCCATTGATTGTCAAAAAAGCAACACAATATAATATACCACCGGCACTTCCTTTGTTTTTTAGAAATTCATACAACTCGAATATTGAAAACATATCAAGACTAAATCCTATACATATTACAAATACACTAAATATTGAAAACGAATATTCTTATGTCCAAGAAAACAGTGATGTATTATCATCAAATACATCTGAAAGTGATGACAATTCTCTTGAAGAATATTTTGAGGAATCTGAAGAGACATCAGAAAATATATTAATAGATACTACACTTCCTAAAACCACACTACAACATGAAACAATCGATCAAAAAATGAACTTGTTAAAAATAAATTTACCGAAACAATTTCATCAGATATATTAACCAAAGATCCCATAAATATAGCTGAAAAATAAGGCAATTTTGTTGGGTTAATGACACCTTTTCAGTTGATCGATTTGTTACTTCTTTTTGGTTCGTATTTGATACTAAACAATCAAGGACTTATAAAGATAGGGATATCATTGAACATAGAATTAATTATGTATCTTCATATATTATCAATTCCTTTGGAATTGAGGCGCATTTTTCGCAAAATCAAACTAAAATGATAAAAACTATAATTGATGTAGCGGTATCTTATATCATCAAAGATAAAAGACGAGACGTTGAATGTTTAAATATAGATTATAGAACAGCTAAAAGGCAAATGACACGCGAAAATACACATTTCCTTGAAAAATTGAATCAAATAAT